CTCTCCCATAAACAAAACTCATTGCCCTTTCCCCATTAGCCAGCTCCTTAGACAGATCAGGTTTCTTATACTAGCCCCCATCTAAACTAAATTATAACGTCTCATGTAGAGTGCTTTAAAGGCCTTGCTGAAATAGAAATAGGTTTGATCCGCTGCATTTCCTTGCCTACAGAATAAGTTATTTTATCGAAAAAGATATCAGGTAACTCTGGTAGTAACCATTTTTGAGAAACTGTGTTGCATTTTAACTCAAAACATTTGGCCATCAATTATCCTGGCCTGGCCTCTATTTCTGCTCCCTTCCCCTGGCCCCCTCCTCTCTGTGGTTCAGACTGACATTAAAATATCCCAAAACTAGTGGACACAAGTACCAAACCTTGAGTAACAGATGCTGCTTATAATGATACACCTTCCACCGTACCTACTAGAGCAAGGTCATTCATTTTTCTCAGTTAAAGGACAACAAGTGCTATAATTTGATTAGATACCAAGGAAACCAGTTGACAAAATGGGCATTCTGGCATTTCTAACTGATCTTAGATACCTATCAAAAACTCTGCTTTGACAGCTTTCTGACAGACTTTAAAAAATGTGTGTGTGTGTTTGTTTTATGCTCCTCAACTTCCGGACAATCCAAATAAAACAGAGAGAGAGCGTGCCAGCTCCTGCATGCCTACATCATGTAAGTATAGATGTGAACATAGATGCAGGAAAATTAATCCCAGCAGTGAACATGGATTTGTTTCCCAAGTAGAAAGGAATTCACAGCTTCGAATGAATGAATGAAAGTAGATAATAATAATAAAAAATAATCCTCCTGGCCAAAATAAATAATTTTATGAAATAAACAGATGAAATTGTAAAGAGGAAACAAAAGTCTCCTTTTAAGTCTCAAAACCAAAATTGCTTCTGTTGTCTTTGATCTGATTTAAGCTGTACTAAAGGTCAACGAACATTGGAACAAATATTGCTAAATACTATACTCAATGGATAAAAAGAAACATAAAAGTTTGGCCTTATTGTACATAACACATCACACAATGATCTCACCAAAGTTACCAGCTGGGGACTTGCAAACCACATTTACCAAATAAGGCAAAATGCTTCGTGCCTGAAATCCTTTCCCAGTTACCTCACCCGGCTTTTGCTTGCGTTTCTACAATAATTACAGAGGTCATTTTTTTAAACTCAGATGGAGTAAATCAACAGGCTATCCAATGCAAAGCTGGGTTTGTGCAGTCTCTGGAGAGAACTCAGCTTTATTTAAACTGAGTGTGTACAGAAAAGGAAGAACTGAAATATGTGCAATAAAAACAGAAGAGCGAGTAGTATAAATCGAGAAGAGCAAGTGATGTAGAATTGTGTATTGCTGGTTTGATTACAAAAACTATTGTTTTATGGGGAATGTTTCTCAAATTTGTTGGGTACCTTCAGGTTTTTGAAGTGCATGTGAAGAATTGGTCTTTAATGTTATTCTTACGACGTTCCAAAAACACTTGAACTTTGCACTCTGGGTTTATGCTGTCCTTGTATTTGAAATATAACTTTGTAACGTCAACAGGATATATTTTATCCTCCATTTTCTCTTTGATTTCTGTGATCATATTTTTTGCCTAAACTTGATATAGTTTTGAAGAAAGACTAAAATACTCTCATTCTCTATATTAAACACAACATAGGATAGTCCTACATAGTTCATCACAGTAGTAAAAATCTTGCTAAGTTACTTATTATTAAAATAAAATGGTGATTGTCATAGTGAAAACTGTCATTAATTTATAACATTTTCTCTTTTTTTTCCTGCGTGTGTGTGTCAGGGTGGTGGTGGGGATTGCTTGTTTTTATCTCCAGCTGAATTTTATCTGGTGTTTTAGAAAAGAAAGAAAAAAGCCCAGTGAGCACTTTTAAGTGCTTACTCTCATAGTCTTCCTCTCACCAAAATCTGACAGTAGTACCTAATACCATTTCCTATTATGTATATCAGTAACACAATTATCTAATAATTTTTTTTCTCCAAAAATTTGGAAATACAGCTTAAGAGGGTACTAAAATTAATAATTTCAAAGTCCAATTAGAAGAGAGAGAATCCAACACTCAGCACTGCTTATAAAATACACTATCACAGTGTAAGTCTCATCACAAAGACCAGATGCTTGAATCTCTAGCTACTGCTGAAATTGCCAATGCAAAAGGCATATACAATTAACCTCATGCTTCTATACCTAATCTCTTGGAATGTTGGTCCATAAGATGTTATGATGCAAATTAATTGTAAATTCACAGCTCTAGAAATATATAATATGACATAACTATCAGCTATCCTGTGGAGTCTGCATCATCTCAGCGTCTCTTCGGAGAGGAATACATACACAGAAATGTTTGGGTTTTTTTTGGAGAGGAGAGGGATGACAGAGAAACAGGAGCAAGTTTGGGTTTGATATGAATACAATTCTACACACTGTTGTAAGTTAATACTAGGGGAAAAAACAGCTCAAACCTGGTATTTCAGAGCAAAAAGTAACAGTTGATACATGGTCCATACAGTTCACATGTTTAGAGAAGATCTCAAATAAAAAGTGACATTCTAAGTGTCCTGTGAAACTTGCTGCTGAAATCCAAGCAACAAGAAAGCATCTTCGTTTTTTGTTTGGCTATCAGTTCAGATCACCCCAAAGGAGTACAAAGAGCCAAATCTCTGTGCAAACAATCACTAACTGCAGATAAATAACTAGCAAGCTCAACTCATCCCATATTTATAAGAGTTCATAAATGCTCAAGGGTTGAGCCCAGTGAACAAAAGTGGAGGTAAGGGATCTGACCATGTTCTCTACTGTACTAACAATGAGTTTCAGAAAGTCAAAATTTCTACTCTATTTCTTACTGGTCTCATTATTCCTAGATCACACATTGCTATTTTGTAATTACTAGAAAAACAGTATTAAATGTAATTAATCTCTCACTTCTTTGTGTTGATTCCATTTAGTTAAAGGCCAACTGTAATTGCTTCCGCTGATAAAAATCAACTCAGAGGTGAATGTTTGTATCACAATCTGGGTTATGCAGGCGGTCTGAATCTCATTTTTGAGCTTGACAGTTGAACTCCATGAGCAGTGTAAGAAAAGAAGTGTTTATTTGACATTTTATAAAACAATTTGCTGGGAGAGCTCTCTATACGGTATCAACGTGTCAAATGGGCCAGTATCCTGGACTGCCCCAAACACACATAGTGCTGCATAATAAAGTGCATTAGACACTGGAGTAAGAGTTAGCCAAGCCAGGCTTCTCCTGAACTCAGTCAGTACAGTGTTGTGTGCCCACAGGCAAGTCAAAACAATCACTGTTTCCACAAATTATATAAGATGGGCAAATGCCCATATTTTATCTGGAAGGGATATGGAAAAGAAACCAGCCGTTGTGATATACCAAACAGAGAGTGCCCTGCCTTTAATGTTAAAATACTTGCTGACTCAAAAAACAAAGGAGTCATCTTCAATTAGATCATTTAATATGTGTTGACATCTGCTGAGTGATATATTCAAAGGAGACATGAGTGTCTTATACAATTGTGCAGATAGCCCTGTGAACCGCCTGTCGATCGTCTCTCTGATGTACCAGGAGAGTCAATAGTATGGCAGGTTAGGCTTTCAAACAGGGTTCTCTGCAGAGAAGAATGATATCCCTTAAACTATAGGAATATGAAATGAAACAGTAACACAAAGAACTGAACAACACAACTAAAACCCACTGAACACTAAAAATAATTATGTGCTTGGATTAAATGCTGATTTGTGCAGCACAGTAAATAAACTCCCAGCCCTGCATCTCACAGCAGCATAGGGGTGGGACAAGAGAAGAATGCAGTTGTACACAAAAACGTATCAAGTAAGAGCGTAAAGAACATCCATTTCAGAGAAATCTGACCTCAAGTTCACCGTAAAAATTCTTCTCAAACATTTACTTAGTTCCTGTGCGGAAGCAGTCTCATCTGTTTGCTACAAATTCACAATAGCAGTACAAAAAGTATAAACCTTTGGTCTCTCTTTCCAACAGCTCTGTTCTTCTTCTGAGGTTGTTTGAGTACAGCACAAGCGCAACCTCAGCTACAACATCAAAGACAGATTTTTTTCATACCCATTTAACCTTACAAATGGAAAATTTCCCAGAAAATTTTATGAGTGCTAATACAAGATGCAAAATGCTTCAGAACTAGCATATTTATGTAGACAGACAGAACTGTTATTAACCATACCTCTAATTGACTACTGCAGCCTTTATGCATCTCTCTGAGACTGTGATCAAAGCAGTCACTGATAACCACTTAAGACTGCAGGATCAGACTGAAAATAGCTCTTCTAGACTAACAGTTCATTCCAACATCTTTTTCTCCAACACATCTGATTTCCTGGGCTGACTACTGAACCCTGGTATAGACAACCTGCACTGTTTCTCTAACACAGATGTAACACTTAACACCAGAGAACTGGCTTAAATCACCCACTGGAGCACTTCCACCACGGGAAAATCTCTGGGCCATATGAAGATGAATCACCGCACTGCATCAGCCGTGTAAAGTGGAGAGGGAAAGCAGAGACGAAAAGAGTATGCCTAAAGCATGCTGACTTCTTTTGGTCTTCATACAACAGCCACTTCAGGGCCACTGCACCCATAGCAGCTGTTTGAACCCTCTGTGTGGTTCTGGGTTAACCCAAGATGCAACGTAACATAAATGCAGACATCAGAAGATGAACAGAACTCCAGATGGTAAGAATGTGCAATAGTAGCAAGAGCTATACCCTACGCATATAATCAGCCTTTAAACTCAATTTCTAAATCATCCCATTCTCTGAAGCAAAGAATCCAGTATAATTTACTAATACATTAATGAGGATGGCATCATATATGTTTGAATACAAATGCCTGTTTTCAGTCCAGCCTTCAAAACACACTGATAAACTCAAATAAACATGAAACGAAAAAGAATTGTTTCCCCAGCCACTTACTTTTGCTGCTCCTATTTGCTCTTTACGAAACTTCTCCAGCGGTGCTATTAGCACATCATTAGCATTCTGGATCTGCAAAGTTAAACATAAAGCATATCTTTTTAATACAGAATATCTGCAGAAAGTGAAGTCATTGTAATTCTGCCAATGTGCAAGACTGAAAAATTCGTGTCCGGTAACATTCTGGTAAGAGCATATGGGTAGGAGTCAAATAATTATGTCTTCTTTACATAAAACATACAACATACATGTTCACTGGTCTATTATGGAACATTTCCCTGAATAACTAAAGCAATTGTAATGAACGATGTAGTAAGTTTATCTGCAATATATAGAAGGGTTTTCTGGTATTTTACTTCCATTTCTTGCATCTTGCTTAAAACCAGAATAGAAAACGAAAACTTCCAGGAACATGTTTTGGCAGAACAGAGAAGACATACATAGTAGTACTGACAGCACTGCCTAAAAAAGCCTGTGTTTACAAAATCTGAATCTTTGACAGCTGAATCTTTTCAGCTATCTCTTTGGATTATACACCTAGTTATACTGAACAGAGGAGAGTAAGGCAGAGGACTCTAAAAAGAAAAGTGGACAATCTACAAAAATGGTCTAGATTGGATTCCTTCACTTTTCTAGTTTTTAAACTAATTTAAGATGTCCTGCAGCTATTTTTATCACTTTAACCTAAACCAGGGTTTCTAATGAATCACAGTTTTCCCCTCATGGCCTCTGTTTATTTAGTGTAAATCCAGTCCTGGGAAGCCCTCTCTGAAGACCATTCCCAGCAGTGACCACCCGAAGTGGTCCCTAGTCATTTGGGCTGGAAACACACATGCTGCAGAATAGAAATGCCAGCCATGCCATCGTGCCACTCACTAAAAAAAGGTAGCATGACTTTACCATGTGCCTTTTAGGGGCAGGCAGAATAACCAACTAAGTTGATTTTAATGCAGAAATGTCAGAAGAAACTGAAAACTGCCAACGCATCAGAAATAAAGCATAATAAAACACATTACAATATTCTATTATACTAACTACAGGCAAAATTTTAGGTTTTCTGCATGAATAGCTTTTTTCTCTCCTCACCAGTCCAGTCTTTACCATACTCATCACTTTCCACATTGGGGCTTTGGCAGGTTTGGAGGTCTGGGCAAAGCTAACATGTACCTAAGCCAAATGTGAATGAATACAGCTCTTGTGACTCTTCCATAACAATAATTGATAAGTTACATTGTCAGTTGAGCACAAAAACTTCCCAAAAGACTGTAATAATAAACATATAGAATAAACCCAATTGAAACACAAACACATTTTCTTTCCTCCCAAACCTAACATTACAATTCAAAAGACCACAGAATCACCACACATCTCAGAAGGGCAGAGTTTCAGGAAAAGTCGAGACTCTCTCTGACATCCTAATGTAACAAAGTCCAAGACAGCAAAGGCAACACTTGGCATGCTCGATCCTGCAGTGACCAAAATGGGCTACATTTAAAGATAAAAATCAGGCACTGTGGATGAGAAGGAGTGTTTTCAACTGCATTCAACATACACCATCAGTTTGACTGGAACAGACTACAAAGCTATGTTATTTTTCAAGTGGACATTTCCCCAAAATATATAGACTTTTTGCAACATCTAGCAATCTAACTGAGACTCAACACTTTCTACAAGGCAAAATGCATGCACCTAAAAGATAATCTCTATCCCAAGGACCACTAAGCAAGGCAGATTAAAATTAACAGGGGTATAAAACCGTTAAATGACTTGCCCACAATCAGGCAGAATTGCAGTGCATACATCTGGAAGCAGCAGCTGGAAGTTTTGATAGCTTACAGAGCACATACAAGGCTTTTGGCACATATAGAAATCATGAAGGCTTGCTGGAGTCACTGGTACAGAAATGTGGATGCATCTTTTCTTTCTTTTTCATGTACAAAACTAAGTTTTTTCTCTGCCTTTTAGAGTCATTGCTATATACAGCAACAATATATTAAATACCTCACAGTTCAATTAAAAGAGATATTCATATTATTGAAGTAGTTACTACTGATATCAGCAATCGCGGCTGGTCCTGTTGCTAGTCATTGCCAGTGTGCAAGTTTTGGCTGGGACAGAGTTAATTTTCTTCGTGGTAGCTAGTATGGGGCTACGATTTGGATTTGTGCTGAAAACAGTGTTGATAACAGAGGGATGTTTTCGTTACTGCTGAGCAGTGCTCACACAGAGTCAAGGCCTTCTCTGCTTCTCACACCACCCCACCAGCGAGTAGGCTGGGGGTGCACAAGAAGTTGGGAGGGGACACAGCCAGGACAGCTGACCCAAACTGGCCAAAGGGATATTCCACACCATATGACATCATGCTCATCATATAAAGCTGGGGGAAGAAGAAGGAAGGGGGTATGTTCAGAGTTACGGCGTTTGTCTTCCCAAGTAACTGTTATGCGTGATGGAGCCCTGCTTTCCTGGAGATGGCTGAACACCTGCCTGCCGATGGGAAGGAGTGAATGAATTCCTTGTTTTGCTTTGCTTGCACATACGGCTTTTGCTTTACCTATTAAACTGTCTTGATCTCAACCCATGAGTTTTCTCACTTTTACTCTTCCGATTCTCTCCCCCATCCCACTGGGGTGGAGTGAGCGAGTGGCTGTGTGGGGCTTAGTTGCCGGCTGGGGTTAAACCATGACAGCCAGTCAAACTAACTCCATATGGAGCTGAATATGGCTCTTCCCTTCGCTCAACGCTATCATGTTTAGGCAGCCTCCATGCACACCAGGAGACCTCACTTCATATATTGCCCTCTTGACAGCATTGAAGTGACTGAAACAGAAGTACTACCAGTCTCACTCAATGCTGTTGCAAAGCAAATGAAATATCCTCCTTCAAACGCTGTGGAAGAACACATTCATAGGAAGCATACAGCACTGAGAGGGGTCATCTGGGAAGTAAGTGGCTTTGCTGGGCTGAAGCACAATGTTATTCACTCCCACAGTTATATGTGCAACTAGGAATGGATAGTGGGTATCGCAAGGCTAATTAGAAGTTGTCACGTGCTTCATCTAGACAGGGTCTGTGCCTCTGAATAGATATGCTGAGCCACATCAACAGAACATGCTGCAAGCTCACCGCTGGCTGAAAGCTCCTACTGACAAGAGCCCTGATGTGGCAATTCACCTCCCAGCAAAATTAGGAGCTAGGCAAGTTATGGGCTTTGGCTTTGGGGAGGGAGAACATACCAGCAAAGTACCAAAGGGAATCCTGGCAGACGCATTTCAACATACGGTATTACATGACACAGAACGCTCCGCTGTGAAAAGACTCACCAGGTTGTGCCTAGATTTTGGAAACTGAAAATTGTAGAGAAAGAAGAATTTTTGCCTTACATATGCATTTACTCATTTCCTTTCATTGCCGATTCCTATCACTGCAATTACTTTACATTACAGTTTTCTTGTTAAGGGTTACAAACTGACATACAGCCCCTCCAAATTAGGAATCTAATCCTCCCACAACCATTTCTATGGAAATCTGATTGCTTTAGATCATCTGAAATTTTCACTGTGTGGTCCTAATAGAGTAACTTTCTTCCTGCCAAGATGATAATCCCTCTCCTACTCAGTTATTGTGCTAGGTCGAAATCAATGACACTTGGAACAGGCAAACAATGTCAAAAAGATTGTAATGGTTTCTGTAAATAGCAACTTCAGAAATCCATGTTGTGTTTAAAATACAGATCTTATCCTTAAAAGCTTATTCTGATTAGTCACACCTTTAGAGAAGTTATACTTTAATCCAATAGTTATTTGATGGTACACAGTTCCAACTCCCAGCACGGCTAGTATGTGGCAGTCAATCAAATAATATGATCGTTTCTCTTGTTTGGCAAAAGCACCAGTCTTCCTCCAGAAAAAGAATGGGGGGGAAAAAAAAAGAATCATGCAGTTTTAACTTAGTGTCAGTTCATCAGTCTTTTTTTAATTAAGATGCTAGACAAGTATTAGGCAGACATAATAGGAAAATATTACTTTGGCAATTGAGAGTGTTATATTAGATCTAGTAAAAAAGAAACAGATATTTCTAAACTAAAGAACTTAATCAACTTTTTAACTTTTGTATGTATAACTCTATTTAGCATTATTGATAAAAATACCATTAAAATAAGTACCACCAAAATCACACTGAATTTGTAAAAAATACTTGAAGAAGAAACATTTAAAAAATTGAAAATACTTTTTCTAAGCCAGCTTTGACAACTTATGAGGTAATTTTCTGTTTCATAACTGCAACATTTCAATACGCTCTGACAGCCTTCAAGCCAATGTGCTGACGCACCTTAATTTGTCTTTTCTGATTCATGATCTTCCACCTTCCCAACCCACCCTCTTTCCTTCCAGAAGTTAGGTGTGAAATTGAATTAAAGTACCAATAATGAGATTAAACTGTGATTTTTACACATCACAGAGAAACTCCACATCCATACTTGGAGACATTTTTGACTAGCATTTTTTTAAACTTCTCCTTTTTACTAAAAGTTTCAATCATCAGTAGAATGAAGAAAAAAACTCAACATCAACTAACATATCCTTATGAGAATCGTAATTATTACACTATGTTAAAAAGGGAGGAATAAAATTTTTGTAAACATACCTGAACATTTCAATTTCTAGATTTTCTTAAATTTAAGTCAATGTTAATTTTTTGAATGAGTTTTCTAATTAGTTTTCTAGCCCTGAATTTGGGATAGTGTATGATATGAAGACTGTACGTGCATCATTATTCTTCATCTTCTTTTACTTAGGTAGGACCAGTGGATATAAACAGAAATTTAACTAAAACATCGATGCAGCTGCTTATTCATTATTAAATACTAACAATATAGACACAGAAATTTTAAGCCCTGAAGCGCTTTACAAGCTTTGAGCTTCACCTGGCAATCTACAATGTTGAACTGCAGTAATAAGAACAGTTAATACCTTTTGAGCTTTATATTTTTATTTGTAGGGCTAAGGACTAGGTAGGTCACAGAGAGAATTAACTTAACAGGATTGCCAATTGCCAGAAGACGACAGCAA